TCCCCAACAAAAGGAATTAGCTATTTCTTGGGAGAAATGCCTGATTCTTGATTCTATAACTGAAAAAATATACCCACTGCACCTGTAGTATCATGTAGTGCCAGACAGGAAGGAAGTGCTCACCAAAAGACCCAACTGTGGAGATGTGTCAGAGGGACACAGGAGCCACTACCACTGTTCAACACTGAAACAAGGTGAGCAACGAAATAAAGTAGTAAAATATAAAAGTATAAAATAACTATCAGTGAGTTCATATTGATATAAATAAATGACTGAATAAATAAATGAGAAGAAACAACCTTGTGTACAGAAGAATCCTGAACATATGTGAAGAGACTCCACCCACCTAAAATGAGGCAGCACAGAGTGACTCGCTTCCAGGGACTACAATATGGAAGGAATAGATAAAGGGTTAATTTACAGTGGATGAACCTGCCAAACACAACTTTTAAAAGTGACCAATGTCAACATCTTCGTGATAAAGCATCTTGATGCCATGTACCCTTAGTAAGATGTGACAAAAAGGTGACTTCCAAGCTTCCAAATCAAAACCCCAAATCCAAGTCTTACCATGAAAGAAACATCAGACAAATTTCAACAAAGGAACATTTTACAGACCTGTGGCCTGACCAGGTCGCCTCACCACTGTCAACAAAAACAGGGAAAGTCTGAGACTGTCACAGCCCAGAGGAGCCCCAGGACACTTGGGCGCAGGCTCATGGATGGGATCCTGGAAGAGGAAAGGACGTTAAGTAAAAACTCAGCACATCTGAATAAAGTAGGGATTTTAGTTAATAATAATGGTTCAATATCAATTCATTAATTGTACTAAGCGCGAATAGTGTAAAATGCTGATAACAGGGCAAAGTCAGGGTGGAGTGCAAGGAAACTCTACTGTCTGCCCAATCTTTCTGTAAGTATAAAACTAATATAAAATATAAAGCTTTTTATTAAATGCTACCACTCCGGAGCTCATGTTCCTTCTTGTTACAATAGCTGGTGAAAGATATTTGGGCATAAAGGCCAGCAGCGTCTGTGTGTGAGCCTTTCCCTTCTCCTGCCCAGAGACATTTATTCCCCAAACCCTGTTCCCACTGCTGGCTCTACAGAAGCGGCATTAAAAACTGCCTGGGCTCTGTCCCCAGCCCTGGTCCACAGGAGCTCACTCAGCAGCCATCAGCAGATACTCAGGCAGCACGCCAGTGAGTCCTGTGTGACAAGGATGGTGCCAGGTGACAAGGCCCAGGGATGCAGCAGCAGGCATGATCCTGCCCCGGGGATGTTGGGCAGGGTCAGGGAGAGACTTTAAACAAGGGAAGGAGAAGGGGCAAGGCTCCTCTGGAGCCCCTTTCTGAGGACACCAATCCCACTCATGAGGCTCTGCCCTCCTGCCCTCATCACCTCCCAAGGCCCCACCTTCCAACACCGTCACACTGCAGATCAGGTGTCAGCATATGGACCTCAGGGACAATGATGCCAATCAATTTTCTGGTATCTGCTGGCACCGTGCCAAAGGAAGCCCTCAGCACTCACTGAAAAATGACCTTACCTCCCTCCTTAGAGGCCTTGGTCTAACAGACCTCAGAGTCCCCCAATGCTACGTCCAGACAAGTGGGCAGGTGTTTCCCATGAGCTGAGATGTGTCCCATGGCCTGGGATGGAATGTACAAGATTCCTGTCTGGTAGGAGTGTTTAAGTGTAATCTCTCAGGGTCCCAGAGATGATGCTGGTCAGCACCCCGCCTACCCACATGGGGCTGGGGGGCATCAACCAGAAGAGCCAGATCAAAAGCTTTGAAACTGTTTATAAGGTCATCTTGAGGGGCCACTTCAAATGTATGTGACACTTCTCCTGTAAATGAAACCATTACTGGCCTGAACAAGCCTTGCCCCCTCTGTTACCTGTGGTCTGCTGGGACTTCCCTCAACCCAGGCAGGGCTAATATTTTAATCTCAGTCAGTACACTGAAGGCCTCTGCTTGCAGCAAAGAATGTGGTGGGGTCTCTGGCTACCTGTGGGGAGCAGAGACAACACACCTGAGAACGGCGAGCAGCTCCACCCCACAGGCTGCCCCCACCTGCACTGGCCAACCCAGCAAAGGGCATAAAGCCAGTATGCACCCACAGGCCTCCGGATCCACTTACTTCTTTTTGTTTCAATTTATAGAATCATTTTGCAACTTTACCTTTTAAGCCTTTCATCCATTTGTTAATAGACTTCAGTAAACCAGATTTAGGTCTACAGACAAATGGTGAGGATAAAGAAATCCTCATATCCCCACACCCACTTTCCCCTGGTACTTGGATCTTACACAGGGGTATGGTATAGTTCTTAAAATAATGAATCAATATTGACACATTACTAATAACTAAAGTCTGTGCCTTATTTTTCATCTGATGTCCTTAGTTTTTATCCAGCGTCCTTCTCCTGTCTCAGTAGTCCACCCAGGACACACAACGTGTTCAGTCCTCATGTCTCCCTCGGCTCCCTTAGCTGTGACAATTCCTCAGACATCCCTTGTTTTTGATGAGAATTTGAGCAGTGTCAGTCGGTGTTTTGCAGAGCGTTCTTCAGTTGGGATCCGGTAGGAGTGTAGGGCGTTTCTCTCATTATTAG